AAAAACTAAAAATAGAAATACCATTTGACCCAGAAATTCCACTCCTAGGAATTTACCCAAGGAATATAATTTCTCAGATTCAAAGACATATGCACCCCTATGTTTACTGCAGCACTACTAACAATAGCCAAGATATGGAAGCAACCTAAGTGTCCATCAGTAGCTGAATGGATAAAGAAGATGTGGTACATATACACAATGGAATACTATTCAGCCATAAGGAAGAAAGAAATCCTACCATTTGCAACAACATGGATGGAGCTGGAGGACATTATGCTCAGTGAAATAAGCCAGGTGGGGAAAGACTAGTACCAAGTGACTTTCCTCATTTGTGGAGTATAACAAGGAAGCAAAACTGAAGGAACAAAACAGCAACAGACTCACAGACTCGAAGAAGGACTAGTGGCTACCAAAGGGGAGGGGTGTGGGAGGGTGGGTGGGGAGGGAGGGAGAAGGGGATTGAGGGGTATTATGATTGGCACACATGGTGTGGGGGTTTCATGGGGAAAACAGTGTAGCACAGAGAAGGCAAAAAGTGACTGTAGCATCTTACTATACTGATGGACAGTGACTGCACTGGGGTATTGGGGGGATATGATAATATGGGTGAATGTAGTAACCACATTGATTTTTTCATGTGAAACCTTCATAAGAGTGGATATCAAAAGTACCTTAATAAAAAAAAAAACACCATCAGATACCATTTCACACAGACCAGGCTGGTGAAAAGTCTGACAATATCAAATACTGAAAAGGAGTAGAGTAAATGCAACTTCTGCATGTTGTTGGTGGGACTGTATATTTACATGATCCCTTCGGAAAGCAATCTATCACCTTATGACCCAGCAGCAGCTCTCCTAAGTATATACCCTATAACAGTGCCTCCCAACCAGTGTGCCACAAACTTGATCCTCCCGAGGCCAGGAGCTGGGAGGCATGAGAGAGGGATGAAGCCATGAGCCCCCAGTGCCCCTCAACAGAACCATAAAGAGCCGGTCAGAGCTGCATGGACTAAGATGGACAAATCTGAGGAATGTTTTTTGTGTCACCAAATGTAGGGTGGGTGATACCCCAAAGGGCAAGAGGAAGGGGTGGCATGGTGCGAGCACTGAATGCCTCGAAGGTGCAGACCTGGCTGCTTCTGCAGCGGGTAATCACTAGTCTTCTGCAGATCTACACACATTTTATAAATACAGTTTTGTATTTACCCATATATCTGTGTATCTACCTATCTCAACCTCTTTTTAGTAAGAGAGGTAAAAACACCACTACCATCAAGGAGTGGGGAAAACGGGTTGGGGTCCACAGGGCAAGATCCTGAGAGAGCAACAGGCCTCGATATCATGCTCTCCCTGTATATTTTTAGGCTTGGGCACCACGAGTGAATTTTCATACAGTTACAAAAGCCCAACGCCCCACAAAATGAGGCTTATTTTCTCCATGTTTAGAAGAAAGTGTTCCCCTCTGTTCCCACTGGAAATTCAGCATCTCTACAGGATATTCAGCGTGGGTGGAAAACAATGATTTAAAAAGCCGGATAATATCAAATAATCTTGACTAATGAGGCACTGGAGGAAAGGGAAAGAGGAGTGCTCTACCGCAATAGACGGGCGCTTTTCCAAATGGAACTTTCGGGAGAGCCCTGGCACATCCATACCTCCTACCGCCGCAGGGGAAGGCAGGCTGGGGGCGTCTGCTCTCGGCTCAGGGTCTGCAGGCCTGCTCCACAGCCAGATAGCAAATCCACGAAGAAGACAGGTAGGGCTTTGCTCCACTGGGATTTTCAAGGCTGCCTGGACCTCCTCAAGCCTCTCACCAGGCCCTCCAGGACCTGTACTCCCCTCCTGCCCATACACTGCCACACTGCTACAGGTCTGCAGGCATTTCCCTGCCATTCTGCCAGCAGCAAAACAGGACAAAATCCCCCTGTGCTTCAAAGTCAAACCACACACCCAAGTTCATGGTTGATGCTTCGGGTCTCAGCATGTTTTCCCGAGAAGCCATAAGGAGAGCTAAAACTCAAGGAAGGGCAGAGGGCCCAGTCGTCCTCATGGCCTTACACAGCCCCCGAGGCCGGAACCCGAGGACCTGCTGAAGTGGCCTGTGTCACGGAGCATCTTGCAGTCTGCCTTATGTGGCAGCCAGCTATTTGCTACACAGTCCTCACAACCCCATGGCATCCTCTGAGGCAAAGCCTTATGGGGGCACAGCATACTTTGTACAGAACTGATACTTGATAAATATTTACAGAAACCGATTTCACACAGCAAGAGAAACTCATCTGGTGACAGACCAAAAAGAATGAGCACTTAGGCCTAGGACTGTTCACCAAAGAAAATATAGTAAGGTTGTGGGTAAAATGTCAAGCATGTTTTCACATTCAAATGATAGCAAACAACTTGCCACACTCCTTGTCCTCATCAGCTAACAGGTCAGAATTACGGGACAAGCAAAAGTAAGTTCAGTCATTACTGATCTGAGACAAGCCTATACCATGGAACACTTGACTGGACACTGAGCCCAAAATGACAGTCATTAGTTGATGGAAAGTGCCCACCAGGAATGGGTAAACCCATCAGGCTCCAGAGAGTTATCTACTGGGTGGTCAACTCTGACAGCTGTTTACAATACAGACTGAGGATTTGCCTCTTAGTCATCTGCTCCGGTAGCAGGAATCTCATGCCAGGCACTCTGCCGGTCACCAACTATAAAGCAGGAATTCAACAGACAGGGTCCTGCACAGCAGCACACCGACGAAGTAACTGCACAAACAGTGCATCTAAGAAGGTCATGACGAGGAAAGCGCCTCTGACTGCTTTCCCAGGCAGGGGCACAACTGTTGTGGAGGAGCAGCAAGACTGTCGGTCTATTACAGTGAGTGGCTTATATCTGAGCCCCAGAGAGATCCCTGTGCAGCATGTCACTCAAAGACTACCAGCTTCTGCCTCCTGGGCTGTGTATAAACTGACTGGCCACAGGCAGAACCCAAGGCAGAGGTCCTTCCCCTCGACCAGAGGCTTGATGATGAAGGGAGCATGCAGTATCCTAGGTGTCATCACAACAGCCCACAGGGGCTGTGGTTATTTAACAGAGCAGCAAAAGGATGCCCCCAAAGGTGAATGATTTCCAGCTGGCTATGGAATGGCCCAGCTGCAGGAGTTACAGCAGAGCCCTTCTGGCCCAATCACAGACGCCCCCTCATCCCATGATACCCAGCCTCCAAACAAGGATCAGAGCCACCTGGTGGCCTTGTTCCATGCAGGCAGTCAATCTAGTCTGGCACGTAAGTCTTGGGTGAGGCCCCTGCATGCAGGCCATGCCAGGACCAAACCCTGCCAACAAGGCCTGGTGCTCATAGTTCGGATGTCCAACCGACCTGCCTTCCTTTCCGTTCCATTTCCTCATCTTTAAAACAGAAATAACAGCATCTGCTCTGCCTTCCTCCCAAGAATATTCCAGAATTAAATGAGCTAACAGGTATGAATAAACAATTGTAGAACATTTAGATTCGCCGTCTTAGCCTCAGCAATGGACTCCAAACCAGATCAAACTTGATGCAGGTTAGTTTTACACTGCACTGAAAATAGTTTTAAACTATTCAGAAATGTATTCTAACTGTAACTTTACACAGCCTGCTTTGTATGAGGGGTACAAATCCTTAAAGACAACTCAGTAAATTCTAAAACTGAGAGAGTCTGGCAATTCCAACTACTGAGGAACACCGCTAACTAAATCATGTAGCAGCCGCCTTTCTCAGATTGAACTGTTGTAAAAGCTCCCAGCTTGAACATCTGTCACAGAGGGGCAAGCAGCCAAAGCAAATCTTCATGGAAAGAAAAATCAGATGCCAACTGGCAGCTGCTTCTACAACTGGCAAGACTTGAGTCATGGGAAGGTTCTACCCTTCCCAAGTGTACATACAACCTTTATCCTTCCTCACATGTAAACAAAGGCCCAGAGTACAAAGAAGAGAAAGAATAAACCAGGAGAGGCAATGGAGTCCTTTCCTGCATTCGCTCAAACTGGTGGCTGAGAGAGAAAAACCTAAGAGGCCACTGAGAGCAGCTGATTTAGAAGGTTAAGGACTAGTGGGAAAGGAACCTAATTGCTCCTTCGCCACTCATTTCCTTTAAGATACAGTTTATAGCAGTGTTGAAATTTAACTATTTTAATTAAGAACTGTGTTCCAGATGAAAAATGGGAGGTCACGGTTCACCGCTATACACTGAGTGCGGAGCTGCCATCTGGAGCCCCGAGCAAGGGCGTCTACACTCGGGAGCAGGACTGTCTGACCCACCAGTGGGGTCAGGACTCATCAGGGCCAAGTTGCTATCGCACACCTCAATTCCTGGCTGAGTTCATCCCTGGGAGGAGCCCTCTTTTAATTCCTAAAACCATAAAGTTAGTGTTAAAGTAACAGAACCAAAATGGAGTTCGACGCTCAGGTATTCTAAAAAGCTGTTTCTGAGGAAGATGATGACACATTACTTTGTCTTCAGGATATAAAAACACCTACTGAACCATTATAACAAGTGTTTTCCTTATATTTTATCTCTAGTCAGCAAAATAATCTCCCAGGGTAAAATTAATCTCACTGACAGATAAGGAAAGCTGGGATGTGGAGACGTTATGAACCTAAGCCCACACAGGACAAGTGGCAGAGCTGGGACATGAACCCAGGGTGCTCCCAGCAATGGCATCCATCAGGTCACGGGAGTAGGAGCTTGCTGATCATTACGCTGCTATAAGCTACACAAACCGAAGGCTATTTATATGCCTCCTTTGCTCTGACCCCTCTGGTTTAATGAGAATACCAAGCAATTCTAATTAAAACCAGACTATTTCCCCACACTCCCCTACCTGAAAACTGTCCTTAAGCTGCTGCTGTGGGTTTAGTAAAGGGAGATTTGCTCAGCACACGTATACTTTCTGCATTTTCAAAGGCTTTACAACAGCCATTGCAGCCCTTGGAGTCCTGGGCAGACCCTGCACTTACTTACTCTCATGGCCCCGCCCATTAATTTCTTCCTGGAGACTCAGAACACTAGTGAGGTTAATGATCCTTCTCCGGGGGGTACAAGCTGCTGTCATCTCCTTCCGGGAACCATCTTCCACCATTTCCACATCAGAGCCTTCTCGCTGTCTCTTTCTGCAATAAAGATAAGGACACTGTTACTATTCTAGTTTTTCTTTTTAACTCAGCTAAACCCTGGGTATTGCACTTTGGAGGAGGAAGCAGCTTCTCTGTGCCGGCTCTGTTCATCTCCCCGGTGCTGGCGGCAGGCCAGCGTGACCAATGTGTTCTCCCGCACACTGTTTATCTGACCAGCCCCGAGCCCAGCAGCTGGCCACTGCTCACAGCAGGACTCTGGAGTCTAGCTCCGAATGGCCCATTGGTGCCAGGATCTCTGTGGTCAGCCACCAAGTGGATGTGCAGTCTTACACAAGTGACATCACCTGAGCTTCGGGTTCAGGACCTGAACACATTAGGTAATGAACCACCACCTTACAGGTCTCAGTGAAGTGTCTTTAAGGAACCTGGAGACTAATACTGGAACTGCTCAAAATTAAACAAACATTATGATTGTTCCTGCCCCCTTTACAGAGCTGTCACCCTGGGCTCACGTACCCCAGGGCATGCCTCCATTGGATTAAGAAGGCATGTCTCTTCTGAGGAGGGAAAGCAGTTTTGAGTAGGACGAGGGACAACCCTCTGGATACTTAAGGGTTCTCTCTCTCTTGCCACCTCTACTGTTGAGGCACTATCAAAATTCTTTACTAAGAATTTAACAAAATTCTTTACATTTCTTTTCTGATGTGCTTTAAACTAATGCTTGGATCCGTGGACAAGCCACAGCACTGTTCCATCAGAGGCAGAGGGCGAGTTGTCAGCAGAGAGAAGATGCTGGTGCTTCAGAAAAGTCCAAGTCAGAAGGCAGTTTAGTGAGAGCAAGGAGCAAGCTGCACTTTTTCCAGAAGGCCATACCTGGGGTTGCTGGGGTTGGATGGGGACCCTTTCCCCTCTGACATTTCTGAAGTCATCTTTGTTGTGTCCCCTTCTAAGCCCTGATTCTCGGCAGCCACTTCAGCAGGCCCTGGAAGTTCAAGCATTTCCTCATCTTGCTGCCTGGTGCTGCCACTAGAAGCATCTGTCCTGTTCTCTGGGACAACAGCCTGTGGCTGACTAGATGGAGCCTTGCTCACAGGCTGCAGAAAGGCATCCAGTTTCTGCTCCCGGGAATCCGTGCGGACCATCTGGTGGGCATAAACCTTGTCACCACTTCCAGAAGATGTGGGAGTCACACCCGCTGTGGATTTAACCACCTCCCCAGAGGGGCCAGCCAGACCTGGTAGTAAAGTCTGTGTCAAAGAAGAAGACAGTGGGAAGGTTCAGAATATGAAGTACAGAAGCCTAGGTCCCCAAATGGAGAAAGCAGCTAGGCCCAGGTATAGTATCATTATAGTGGCCCAGGTATAGTATCATTATAGAACTACTATTATAGAAGTAATTCTGACCAAAATTTGAAGTATAGAAGATATACCAACATAAAACTAAAAAGTTCAAGTTTTTAGTCTTAGTTGGTTTGAAGTAGAAATGTTAGTGTAAAGTTCTTGTATTTTTGCTTTTGTTTGCTGCTTTTTGCTGCCATAAGAGGATTTTTTTATTACAGTAAATTATACATAAAATTTACCATTCAGCCATTTTCAAGTGTACAGTTGTGTGGCATTTCGTACATTTATACTGTCGTGTAACCATCACTACCACCCATCTTCAGAACTTTTTCATTATCCCAAACTGAAACTCTGTACCTATGAAGCAATAACTCACCATTCTTTCCTGCCCCTGAGCTCCTGGCAACCACCACTCTACTGTCTATTTTTAAATATACATACTTCTAAGCTCTGTCTACTGGGAAGGCCTAAAAGTAATGATCACCCAGTAGTGGTGAGAACACCCAATCCCACAATATAGTCTCTAATACCACACCCCACTAAAATAAACCAGAGTTTCATAGAGAAATAGCCAGTCTAAAGCTTGGGCTGGGGAAGTACAGAGTGAGCCTACAACATCTTGTCTTGCCTGAAACAGGAAATTATCAAAGACTAATGGAATTGGGTCAAAGGGACAAGAGCACCAGCTTGAAGGGAGTTCCCTGGTCTACGAGGGGATATTTTGAGGATCAAAAAGAAAAACGACTATAATTGGTTACATTATGTTGTTTTATGAACAGCTATGACAAAATACTTAGAAGGGAGAAAAAGCTGGGGAGGGAGAAGGAGAGAGGGAGGGAAAGAGAGGAAGAGATGGAAAGAGACTGGAAAAAGTCATTGACTGTCACTGGAGATTAGATACCAACTCTTTCCCTTGCAAACTGATAACTAAAGGGTTAAATTGGGCATCTATCCATACTTTGCAGTATGAACTGCATTCCAGCTCTAACAAATAAAGGGAAGTTCTTCTATACAGAAGAATTATAATTACTTAATATAGAAAAGATGAAAAAATTAGAAAATCCTAATCTTACAATCCTAATGAAATGACCGCTTCAGGTGAAAGCTGGGTGAAAGCAACCTCACCTGGGTGAAGTACATGCGGGAGGAGTTGGCACCCAGCAGCCTGCTCTCAATGTGCCGCTGCACCCGCTCCAGGATGCTGTCCTCGTGCAGGAAGTGAACTTCGTGCTTCGTCGGGTGCACGTTGACATCCACATTCTGGGGGCTGATTTCTAAGCTGGCAGGTAAAAGAGGACAAGACCTCAGGCGGTGGGGCCAGGGGAATCACATGCAATGCGTGTGGTGGCCAGAAGACACAGGAGGCCAAAGCTTCAAGGTCAAGTCTCAGTGATTGCGGTCCCAATGCCGACTCTGCCGCTTGGAAGCTGGGTGCTTTGGGGAAGTTTCATCAGCTTTCTTTGTCTCAGTTTCTGCATTTGGAGGTGGATATAATATCTGGTGGGGATTAAATTCACGTGAAGCTCTTTGCATGAACTTGGCACATTTATTACATGTCAGCTGCTACCCTCATTCCAGACCTAGTGGATGTCCTTGCTGTGTGAATGTGAGGCAGGTCACTTAACTTCTCTGATTGGTTTTCTCATCTGTGACTATGAATCCGTCCCCTACTTACTTTCAGTATCACAGGAAAATCAAAACAAAAATGCATGCAAGAGAACTTCCTGTCATTGGAAGGGGACAAAACTCTGTCTGAGGCTGTGCCAGCTTTCACACTGCCTGGCTCCAAGTCGCCTGCCACTGCCTGCACTATGACTGCACTGGGAGGCCCTGTCAGCCAAGGATGCTGGAAGGACCCTGGAGGGGAAGGGGGCTCTGTGCCAGTTTTAGGGCAGTTTCTGCCAGGTTCAGGGCAAGGCATGCTCTTCACCCACCAACCGCTGTGTCACCCCTCAGTGGCTGGCACATGAGAGGCTTCCAGGGAGGTTCTGGTACAAGAGTGAATAAATGAAGGAGCCTGCCCTTACCTGTGAGAAGGACGGGACATCGGTTTGCAGGAGCACATGGGCTCTGACCAAGCTATAATTAGCAGGCCCATCTCCTTCCGAGGCCAGCCACACAGGCATAGAATCTCGGTCCCTGTGGGTCTCGGGTGAGGAGTTTGGCTGCATTACCTGAGGTACAGGAACGGGTGTGTGTTTTTGGGCAAATATGCTGCATACACTGTTTCAATGGCTTTTCTTAAGGAACTTGACTCTACCAGACGATCTAGAAAATAGAAGGAAAGTAACCAGTTCAAACCTGTCCTGGGGGATGAGGGGACAGGTGCACATTCATCTATGGCCTGAAATCACTCAGGAAGAGCGACCCGCAGGAAGGAAGGGCTCCCTTTACCTGGGGCTACTTGGCACCGTCTCACTGTGGGCTCGGGGTGCACTCCCCTCCCAGGGCAGCAGAAGCCTGGCAGGGCAGGGCACCCCGGCCCCACAGCCCGTCCTCCAGCAGCCCTTGCCATGCACAGCGGCAGCAGGAGAGCAGCTCTGACTCCACCCTGCAAATACACACTGGTGACCTGTCACATGTGCTACATGCTGGAGATTATACACTGGTGAATAAACTCATTCGAAGTCCAAGACAAGCACTACTGGAAAGAGGTGTGTGCTCAAGGGGGAGATGAGAGAGCATCTACCTCTGCTCAGAGTGCAAACATGGGGTATCCACCAAGTGAAGGGGGATAAGTGCGCTCTCCAGGCATCTCAGGCAGTGCACGCATGAGCATGCCTCTTTAAGGTAATTCAAGGAGGCAGATTTGAGGGTTGGCAAAAATAAAATCTTGGAAAGATAAGACTACACAAGACCTATTTTCAGAAAACACAGCTGAGATAGACTATGATCAGACCTATTTTCAGAAACCAGCTCTCCTCTCTCCCCAGACGACCTCATGATGATCCACTGTCCTGTGCTGCTGCATCCAAGGACATGTCATGTATTTTTAACTCCATGAGAAGAGTAGCCCTGACTTACTCAGCGAGGAGACTATTGTTCTGAGTGCTCACTGCCTCCACCGACCAGATGATGCCCCTGTACTCCCTAACACATGTCCTGACCCCACGGACCACAGCAGGCATGCGCACCCAACAAGAGAACAGATGGAGGCCTTCTGCTGAGATTTATGAACCTGAGACATGCCAAAGGTGTGTTCTTTGTCCCTGCCACGAGGGAGCCTGCACAGTGTGGAAAGAACTGAGCATGCCTATGAGTCTGACCTTTTTTGCTACTGGGAAGCTGGCATCATGACCAGATTAGCTAATGCTAATGCACAGCCCTCGTGGTAAACAGAAGCATGGATGTAGGCTACTCAAATGGCACGTATACTGATTCCTTCTTGTCTGTTCTGTAGCCAACACACGTGTTACCAAACAGTTATTCTTCAAGGTTAGGAAAAAGCACATGAAAATCATTTTCTGAGCTTTGATTAAAGCAAACTTCTATATCATATCAGGTTTAAGTCCGTCTTAATGAAGTTGGAAAAACCCTACTAAAATAAATCAGTTTAACAGAATATTGTCTAAAAACTACTGATTCCCTCCTATCCCTATATTGCTTTGAAAACTGCTGTAAAACATGCATAATTTGGGACATTTATAGATGATTATCATTATAAATGGAGTGGGGAATATACCATTTCCAATAGCAAACAAACAAAACTATAAAATAATTATGAATTTGCTTTAAAACATAAAGTAAAGGACCAGTGATAAAAATGCTAAGAACAGAACAAATGGAAAGATGCATCCTGTTCCCAGATGGAAGGTGAAAAACTGAATCAGATCCTGTTGGGATTATTGGTTGTTGCCCTGTCACTGGCCCTCAAAACCCTGTAATATGCAATTAAATAAAAAGCAGTAGAATACAAAATTGTATTTACTTAATAAGTAGCATGTAAATAATATGTAATCACATAAACAACATGTGAGGAGAGAAAGACTGGAGAGGAATTTGAGAAAAACCCAAATTCACTTCATTTCCTTCTTGATTTCTAGTACTGCTCTATCAGAAATAACTCATTCTTTAAAAAGAAAAACCTCAGGGGGCTTACGATTCAGTTTCTTTACTTCAGACACACTGCCCACAACCACAGTACTCCTCTCCCTGAGTCCTGCTGTGCAAATCAAACAGTGGACCTTGATCCAGGAAAGAACCAACATCTGCCCAGGGTCTGCTTCTAAAGGCTCCAATGCCAGCAGGTGAGGCAGGTGTGCTGGCTCACAGGAGCTGTGACACCCTCTCCTGGGCTCCCTTGCAGAGGTGAGAACCAGACTTTGCAAAGGAAGCCAGGAGCCAGATCAGAGGGCTAAGCAGACCTAGGCGAGAATTATAAATGCCCCCCCAATCAAACCATACTTCCTGCAAGGTTTCCCTGTGCAGTTACACCTGTGAAGCAGGCACTTTCCCATGCTCCCTACATTCCCTTGTGGGTAGAACCTACTTGGTAGTTTTTTGCTTACGGTTGATGAAGAGTAAGAAGATGCACTTCTTCACTGAGTAGTTAGCATTGGATATGTAACCATTCATTTTGAAGGCAAGGGTTTTATCCTCACACCCAACTTCTATCAATTCTCTGGTTGGAAAAGAGAAATTTTGAGGCTCATGAAAACACTGGAAAATTCAAACATTATAAAGAATCAAACGCTGGAAAAATCAGGGCTCCTTCCCACGAACTAACTGCCAAACGAGGACCCCTGAGACTTGGGCTTGTTAAGGTCCTCTGGGCCTGCCCTCTGTCCATCAAGGCAGCTGCCTGCCCGCCCAGTATTTTCAAACACTCACATGATATGCCAATACTGCTCAACATAATGACAAGTCCAAGCTCTGAAACCTTATTTCGCTGACACCCCAAAGGTGAGACTCCAAAGAGCTTCTCTCTGCTGAATCCCTCACTACACTGAGTGGCAGCAGTGGCATCCCCAGAATGTGTCTATGGGGAGGTAAGCCTCCCAGGTTATAGGAGTCTCACATCAGACACCTTCACCCTTACCTGAAGAAAACCTTCCTGAGGGCTGGTCCCTCTGCCTGGAGAGCTCCTAGTCATCTAGTTAGTTCCTTCCAACCCCTCACAGCTCAGGGATTACCTCCTCAAAGAGCCTTCTCTCCCTCTCCCTGACCTTGGTCCTTGTATGTCCCTGGAGGCATCTGGCCCAGTCACTAATGAACGGCATAATCATTTCATGGGTCCTTCCAACTAGAATGAGTCCTCTGAGGGCAGGAATCACTTCCACTGTACTCCCTAGCACATGTATCTACCACCCAGCACAGCATCCAGCACATGGCACACGCTCATTAAGCATTTTCTGAATGTATGCTGGGAGCTTCCTATGCAGTAACATGTGCTCAGAGTTTCTGAGCAGCGGACAGCCTGCAGTGTTTCCCACACCGAATAACCAGCAAAGCCTTTCTTCCCAAAATGTCTCAAGAGGCTGGTGCTTTGGTAACATGCTTTGGGAACTGCTACTTTGCAGGATTTCTCATCTCTTCCAGTCCTTAGGAATCTCATAACAACCAATTCTAAGTCTTCAAATGTAGTCAAGCAGCTCTTAAACATTTCACCATACAATATAGCACTGTACTCTTGAGGCACAATTTATAATTAGTAACACTTAATTAGCATAAAAGGGTAATTAAAACCAAATAGACTATTTCCTAGATAGGAACTTGGTTTTGTTAACAGAATGAGTAATTTATTGTTCAAAGCAGAAAACTGGGTTCTGGGTCTACTGCTGCTGATTTTTAAAATTTTGGAGAAAGTGAATTCAGGGTCTGTCTTATTTATCTGTGTATTCTGAGCATCTGATACATGCCTGGCATATAGAGAGGTCTTAGTATTTTTCCCCTCAGATTATGGCACTTTGGGCTTTGCAAAGTCCTGAGACTTACGCTAGGAATCTGTGATGTAAAGAGTGGTATCCACCTGTGGAGGGGAGTGCCATGAGGAATCTATAATGCAGCTTTCTCTCTTCAGCTTCCCGTGAGAGTGAAGATTTGGTGACACACACCTGCCACCACCAGACAGGGAGGTCTTTAAGGCACGAAATAATTTTATTCACCTTTACCCTTAACTTCTGGTACAAAGCCTGGAATATGGGAGGCGATTAAATGAATGTTGAATGATGATAAATGAAATCCTAAAGTGATGCTAATAGAAATACAGGAAAGAGAAAGAACACTGGAGGACAAAGCAATCAGACTCCACTCTGAGCATTTTGAAGACAGAAACCTAGAGAGAACACATTGATTTACAGCCAGAGCATCTAGGAGAAAACACACACCCCAGAAGGGTAAAATTGTATGAAATAATGGCTATTAACAGACCTGAAGCAGGAAAGCAAGCCTGCATATTTGATTAAAGTAAACTCTTAAGGCAGGAGCTACCCTGATGGATTCCAAAATAATGTGATATAATGATAAACCCAGACATGGACAGAGATTCATTTTTTTAATGTATCACCAACATACCGGCTAACAGCATTTCCAAAGATGGAGCGAATATTGTCCACAGTTGTGGCATTGGGCAGTGTTCTAACGTCCGCTACTGTCTCGCCTTGCTGATAAACAGAAGATAGGATTTACTGTCTCATAATCGTGACTGAAACATCAGAACCTTATCTCCACAAGTGAACTACAAAATATCCTTTTTTCTTTAAGAACACATAACCACCCCTATAAATCAAGAACTTACTTTTTTTACTGAGAAACTAATGCCTGAATTATGTATTGAATACCTGGCAAAGAAAAAGAAAACAATAAGTAAAGAGTGGTCAAATGCACAACACATGGCAGAGTCCCCTTCTACTTAAGTAAGTTGATGGAGTTCAGTGATCTGAAGACATACACAAACAAAAGTATCTCCGTATGTCATATTTCACCCACAGGAAAATGAGCCAGCAGAGACTTCATGGAGATATCAATGCTAAATGTGGCAGAACAGAATAAAAACAGGGTTTCACTGTGCTTTTATAGGCTGCTGACTAGACTCCAGGGTGTCTGAATACAATCTTCTCTTTACCTACAGTGTGCCTGCCACAAACCCAGAGGTCTGGGTCACCTCAGCACAGCCTGACAGTCTGCTACAGGCCTGCACTCTTACTCTCTCAGAGCCCTCAGCTCAGCCCTCCGTGCTGCTTCTCCCCCAACTCAGGGTCCTGTTCCACTGTCTCCAGACTTTTCTCAGTTGCCTATTATTACTCCTCCCTCCGTGGGCCCTGTAAACTGAAGACTGTTTGGCAAAATACATTTCATCAGTAACAATAATTTGCTCTACTGTACCTAGAAACAATACAGCCAATTAAATCACCTATATTTCCAGGAGATAATTCTCTGATTTATGCAATTTCAGGGAAAAGCAAAGAAACTTGATGTTTAAGTCTGCTCCACTTTAGTAGGAGCAGATTTTTTAACTTATTTTAGCTCTTTCAGAAATACTGAAAAATAGTTAATATATATCTGTTACAATTCGAGGATGTGCAGGCTTAGAGTCTGTGCTAGAGCCACCGCACTAGCAGATTAAGTTTGTCATGGACATACTGTGGTTTTCCCTGCCTTGAATCCCTTCTCCTCTTGCTGTTGGCAGCCCCTAGCCCCTAGCCCCTAGTCTTCCTAGGGGAAACCGCCTCTTCTCCGTTCCACTTGAAATTTCCTCAGATTGTCAATCAAGAAATCTCCCCGTGGATGTGGGCCTCTGATGGGGAGACCCAAGCTATGCTGATCAGATGTACTCTCCCAGCAAGCAAACTCCTGAGCAATCATGAGAAGGATGAAAGCGCCTGGAGCAGGGTCACTGTGTTACATCGCTGAAGCCACCCTGGTTTTTGTCCTCCCCAAGGAGCAGCTGTCCACCTCTCTCCACTTGGTGAGTCAGTCACTCCTAGCCTCCCAATACATTCTTTTGGGCCCTACTTAGCTAGAATTAGCTTGTTGTGTTTGTCACCAGAGAACCCTCACTGATACATACAGAGGCCAGATGCTCTCTCCTGGGGAGATGAGAGAAGCCCAGGCCCCTGGGAACCAAACCTTAACCAAACAATTTGCAGGCTAGTACTGCTGTTTCCATGCAGCTCGGCAATTATTCTCAATTTATAAGCACTGGAATACATTCCTTTGGTGAATGATCTCAGAGACCCACTCCCACATTTTAGACTGTACCTGCCAACAACATCCAGAATTTTCCCATACTCTTCACTTGGATTTTTTAAAGCTTTCCTCCTCGTGGATATGTTGTAAAAAAGGTCCTCCACCTGAACAGAAGATGGATTCCTTGTAAATTCACAGAAGTATATGGAAATAAAGACTTAAGTTGTCCACATAAACCTGGGTCTTCAGGCACCGAATCTAACCATATTTACACCAAAATCTAAGTTCTAAGCACTGATTGGGAGAGAGGCCAGATAAGGCAGTCTTAGCAAATACAGGGTATTTTTTCCCTGCCTCTCACATTCATTCACTGGTTTCTCAAAGAGGTAGTAGGGGCTACCTCTAGGTCAGGCTCTATGCTTTGTGCTGGGAATATGAAGACATACAGGGCAGTCTTGCCCAGGACAGCACATGATTCAGTGGAGTAAACATGTAAATTCACACTATCACATGGTATTCAAACTTATTTTTCAAACTAAGAAAATTACAAAATTCCTGAGAATATTTGGGCTTCTTGGAAATCACACTGTAGTCACTCTGTATGGGTATGGGATCCCTCTTAACATGCATTCAAGCACATGGTGATTCCTGCATCCTACTTGCCTCATCAATCCTAGGGCTTAGAGTCTGCAGAGAGATGTGCCCAAGCTGGGACTGGGGCTGTAACATGACAGCGGGACGCTCTATGGTGCCACACCATGGTGAGAGAATGGATGTGGCAGCACAGAATAAGGCAGCAAAGTGGACTTTCCCCTTTCTAACAAGGCAATCACATCAGTTAAGGACACTCTGAGGGCAGGTATTATGTTGTTTGATAGATGAGAAAAGTGGGGTCAAGGGACATAAATGACTTGACTCTGGAAACATAACCATTGAGCCGAAAGGCTGGGACTTGAGCTCACTTCTTCTAGAGCCAAGTTTCAGGTTCTTTCAATGCTGACTATCTCGTTACTGATTTCTGCCGTCACGGTAAAATAATCTCCCAGCCTCTTAAAAAAAGATGAGGCAGTGGGCAGGCTGCCAACCCACAAGACCCAATAATGATTCCTCTTATGTATATTCTGGGGCTAATATTAACTAGTAATAGTTTGTTGTATTATTGCTGTAAATAAGGCAGTCTTAGCAAATACAGGGTATTTTTTCCCTGCCTCTCACATTCATTCACTGGTTTCTCAAAGAGGTAGTAGGGGCTACCTCTAGGTCAGGCTCTATGCTTTGTGCTGGGAATATGAAGACATACAGGGCAGTCTTGCCCAG